GCCTTAGCCGCTTGAGCCACAGGTGCCGAGCCAAAAAGAAAGATTCTAAAACTGAATCTGGGCTTGGCAGTAAAACCATATGATTTATTGTTAATGTCTGCCAAGGATAAGGCAGAGTGGAGGGTGATAGCATGTCACATAGAAATATATATATAGCATATATTTCCCAGGCTGGTCTCAAACTCCTAATCTCAAGCGACCTTCCTGCATTGTCCTTCTAGTGCTGAGATACCTGACCAGTGTTAAAATTTAATAGCTCCTGTGCTCTATTTCTCTTAGCTGAGGGCTGTGTCTTGCCTTTGTACTCATTTACCATGTTGTAGATGGGTGTGACCACCAGGGGGAGGAGTCTGCTCACGTGTTAAGTGCACCAGGTGCGCACTGCACAAACAGGCTCATGATCAGCATGTTTTCAGTTTTATTAGCCTTTGATTTTTGCTTTCAGCTTTCCTATGCAGTATTATTTATCTTTTAACACCCCGTGGAATTGTGAGGATTTTTTAGTTTGACAGTAAAGGAGAAAGATGGCAAATATATATATTTTATATAGCATACATACTATCACCCTCCACTCTCATCCTTGGCAGACATTAACAATCAATCATATGGTTTTACTGCTGAGCCCAGATTCAGTTTCAGAATCCTTCTTAACATGACTTTTTAGGCAGCTACTATACTACCAGCTGACAGAGGAGCCCCTGCAATTAAGCCTACAAATTAGTGGGTTCTTGGCCTCATAGGCTGTGCCCTCCCTCCTCCAATGTAGCTTTCATGGGTTAAACTGGTTGGATTATGGTCAAAACCATGGGGTAGCTGAATGCCAGAGTGGGATTGTGAGACTTGAGAGGCCTCATTCTACCAGCCTGAATGTAAGGGCCTCTTGGAGGAGGAGATGTTGGTTGAAGGCAGGGGGAAAAGGTAGGAGGAGAAAGACAGGGGGAGAAAGGCCCAGAGGCACCATGGATCAGAACAATGCTGCTCAGTCTTCTGCCTCACAAACTACTTGCCTTGCTTACCACATTCTAAAACCACCTGTAGTTCCTCTAACAACTTTTTCCTTTAATCTCCCTTTTTAAAATTAAATATATTGACCAAGCAGAGTGGTTCACTACTGTAATTCCAGTACTCTGGGAGGCCAAGGTGGGAAGATCCCCTTAGCTCAGGGGTTCGAGACCAGCCTGAGTAAGAGCTAGACCCTGTCTCTACTAAAATAAAAAAACTAGCGGGGCTGGCTTGGCGCCTGTAGCTCAGTGAGTAGGGCACCAGCCACATACACAGAGGCGCAGCCTAGGCCTACTAAACAACAGTGACAACTGTAACCAAAAAATAGCTGGGCGTTGTGGTGGGCGCCTCTAGTCCCAGCTACTCAAGAGGCTAAGGCAAGAGAATCACTTAAGCTCAAGGGTATGAGGTTGCTGTGTGCTGTGATGCCACAGCACTCTACCAAGGGAGACACAGTGAAACTCTCTCTCTCAAAAAAAAAGTAGTGGGGGGTGGTGGTGAGTGCCTGTTAGTTCCTGCTACTCGGGAGGCTGAGGCAGGAGGACTGCTTGAGCCTAGTGGTCTGAGGTTGCTATGAGCTATAACACCACTGCACTCTACCAAGGGTGACAAAGTGAGACTTTATCTCAATAAATAAATAAATAAATACAAAAAAAAAAGTTTCCAGAGTGAGCCACCGGAAGGATCACATCCGGGACTTTGGGAGGAGGGAGGAGGGTCCTTAGAACAGGACAGCAGCCAGGTGGGTGGAGCCTTACCTTGTGAGTGAGCGCGTGCTGCTTGAGGTGGTGCACCTGGCTGAACTCCATGCCACACTCGGTGCACACGAAGGGCCGCACATTCTGGTGTTTGAGCATGTGATTCTGCAGCTGGCTGCGGTAGTGGAAGGACTTGTCACACTCGAGGCACTGGTACAGGGTGGGGCCTTGGTGCGAGGCCAGGTGGCGCTTGAGTTGGGTCAGGGTAGAGAAGTCCAGGCCGCACTCAACACACACGTGGCAGCGGCCACTCTCGTGCTTCACTTCGTGGGCCTTGAGCTCACTGGGGTAGGCGAAGCCGCGGCCACAGAAGTGGCAGCTGTAGGGCTTGACCTCTGAGTGCAGCAGCATGTGGCGCTTGAGGTGGCTGGTCTGCGTGAAGGCCTTGTGGCACACCTGGCACTTGTGGGGCCGTGTGCCCTGATGTGTCAGCAGGTGCGTCTGCAGGTGGCTGGGCTGCTTGAAGAGCTTGCTGCAGTGTGGGCAGGAGTGCGGCTTGATGCCATTGTGGCCCAGGATGTGTGTCACCAGGTTGTACTTAGATGTGTAGGACTTCTCGCACATGCGGCACTGCCAGCGCTTCTGGCGGTCGCCCGCCTCCACCAAGTAGGAGTCATCGATCTGCACATTGATGTCCAGCCGGTCCAGCTGGGCCTTCTTGTGGCGCTCCACCGTCGAGCCTGCCGTGTCAGCCTCAAATTCACTGGCCTCCTGCCACACAAATCCCTGTTCTGGCTTTACAGGCTCCGGGGACTCCATGCTGGGGGCCTCGGGGTCACTCAGCTGGGCCAGGCGGGGCGGCTCAAAGCTACACTCAGCAGGCAAGGCCTCCGGCCCAGGCAGTGCCATAATGGGCTCGGGGAAGGCGTCCCTGGCCGCGTCTGGGAAGTGAGGGTCATAAGGGGTCACATCTAGCTCTGGTCTTGGTGTTCGGGGCAGGTGCCGGAGCGTCCGGGGCTTGCGGCTGATGGCGCTGAGGTCGATCATCTTGACAGCACTGCTTTGCAGGGCCTCGCAGGCACCACCAGGTCCCTCGGCAGGGGCTTCTGTGGGGTCCGTGGCCTTGTCGTCGCCAGGCACAGAGACCTCGTAGATCTCCTCCTCTTCTTCCTCCACCTTCTCAAACTTGACCTTGGGCACCAGCCGAACCGGGGGCCGCGTCTTCCGCCGGGTGTGCTTCTCCAAGGCCGCCTCCACCTCCAGCACCTCCTCTTCTGCTGGTGCCCCTGAGGCCCGCCCACTGCAGGCCAGCTGGTAGACATCCGGGCCCGGTGGCCCTGACTCGCTCGAGGTGGGTCCTGCCAACTCCGGCCCCAGGTCAGGGTAGAAGGCTTCCGCACTTATGGTGGCTCCAAAGAGCTCATTTTCCGAGACCAGGCCTAACACCGCAGCCTGAGCCAAGGACAGCACCACCACTGCGTCCGTCTGTGTCCCTGAGTCCATGAAGCCCTCCATCCCGTGGAGGCCGGCTAGGAGGACATCGCTACAAGGGGAGAAGAGATGTGAGTACCACTGACTGGGTGCCGTGTGTGCAGACAACAGAAACACTGACCCTAGACAGGGCTTGGCCACTTTGGTGTGTGCCTGGCCCTGACATTTTTTCTATTCCTGCTTCGGCGGTAGAGCACACCTGTAATTACAGGGAGCAGTGGCACCCTTTGTGTATCTAGCCACCTTTTCCATCTCTTCGGGATCCTGGGTAAGCCTTATCCCTGTGTTGGCCCCAGTTTCCCAATCTGAGGGGTGGGGAGTTGGATTTCCTCATTGGCTCTCAAACTGTGTTCTAAGGGTCCTTGAAGATTCCTCAAAAATCTGATTCAAAAGGCAAGAAATGAAGATGCTAATGTTTTTTAAACAGACTTTTAAAAGCCCACCTACTGAAATACAAATTACTGCATTCGAATGTTCATAGCCTCCCGGCTTTGTTACCAAAATAATTAATTTTGTGTAGATCTTAGTATTGTATCATGAGGGGTTAGCTGTCACCGTCGGTAATAACGTGGCCTTGGGAGTGAGGATAGGTACATATATACAACAAAACCAGGCGACGCTCAAACATAAAGATGCACTCGGGGCAGGGCCTGACCTTCAAGCCTGATGCTAGATTTCTGTATCTGTCGCAACAGGTTGTTTTTCTTGATTAGCTAAATTTAAATTAGATTTATTTATGTATTTATTTGAGACAGAGTCTCACTTTATCGCCCTTGATAGAGTACAGCTCACAGCAACCTCCAACTCCTGGGCTTAGCCGATATTCTTGCCTCAACCTCCCGAGTAGCTGGGACTATAGGTACCTTACAATGCCCGGCTATTTCTTGTTGCAGTTTGACCAGGCCGGGTTCGAACCCACCACCCCTCGGTATGGGGCCGGCCCCCTACCCACAGAGTGGCCCACAGTCGCTGCTCTAAATTAGCATTTAAATATCTACTTTTTTTTTTTTTTTGAGACAGTCCCACTATGTTGCCCTTGGGAGAGTGCTGTGGCATCACAGCTCACAGCAACCTCAAACTCTTGGGCTTAAACGATTCTCTTGCCTCAACCTCCCAAGTAGCTGGGACTACAGGTGCCCGCCACATTGCCTGGCTATTTTTTTGTTGCAGTTTGGCTGGGGCTGGGTTTGAACCTGCTACCCTTGGGGCCAGCCCTTTCCTCACTGAACCACATGTGCTGCCCGCCTGGCTATTTTTTGTTGCAGTTGTCATTGTTGTTTAGCTGGCCTGGGCTGGGTTTGAACCCACCAGCCTCAGTGTATGTGGCTGGCGCTTTACCCACTGAGCTACAGGCATTAAACACCTACTTTTATACTGATAAAAATAAGAGTTTTTAAAATCTGATTTATACACTGGAGATCCACATCAGACCTGTTTGGAAAGAGGGGCTCCTTGGCAGCTGATCCGTTTGCCCCCAGGGTCTGAACTCAGCACTCAGCTGGCTCCCGCTTCATGGTCATGGCCTCTGATTCGACAAGGTCCTGGACCTAGTGGCAATGTGCCCACCTGCCCAGGTGCAAACACAGCACAGTGCCTTGGGGGCCCCAGCATGTGTGTAGCACTCGCTCCCTGAGCATCTGTGGTCTCTATACTCACAGGGCCTCCCCAGTCCCTGCTGGCACCTGCCCCTCCACCAGCTTCCAGGCATCCTTCAAGCTCTATCTGTCCTGGGGTCTCCCCATCTGCCTTTGCAACCTCTCCAGGTGTTCCCAGGACTATGAGACATCAAGTAATGTACCAGGGGCTATGTGGTGGCCTCCTTCCAGGACTCAGAAGGTCATGGCATGCCCCTTGTCCCCAGCTCAGCATTTGGCACGTCAGAGGATAGGGATGGCTTTATTGGTGTGATTCCTGCCTGCCTGGTCTGCTCCCTTCCAGAGGTGGCCCATTCTCAGGAAACTGGCTCAGGCCTGCTTCCCCTGCCACCTCAGCACCCAGTGGAGCTTCCCCTTCCTGTGGTTACTAAAAATAGCCCAGATAGGAGTTTAGCCTCTGTGAAATGGACTGTTTTGCTTAGATGGGGCCCTTGTGGAAGGGACCAGATTGGGGGACCTCAGATGGGGTGGGGGTTGGGGCCGGTCTGGAACAGGCTGGAAAGGCTAAACCTGCTTCAGAATCACTGCCACCCTACATCCAGCCACTGGGAAGTGGACTGAACTAGCTTGCAGCTCAGGCACTTGAACAACTCAGTTTTCCCACATAAAGAATTGGGATGAGGGCGGTGCCTGTGGCTCAGTTAAGTAGGGCCCCATTTACCAAGGGTGGTGGGTTTGGTCCTGGCCCCGGCCAAACTGCAACAGAAAAATAGCCAGGCATTGTGGCAGGCACCTGTAGTCCCAGCTACTTGGGAGGCTGAGGCAAGAGAATCACTTGAGCCCAAGAGTTTGAGGTTGCTGTGAACTGTGACGCCACAGCACTCTACTGAGGGTGACATAGTGAGACTGTTGTCTCAAAAAAGAAAAAAAAAACACTTGCCCAAGGAAGTCCCAAGGAAGGACTGTGAGGACCCAGCATCAGCACAGGCGAAGGGGCTCAGATTATGATAAAGCCAAATAAGAATCACGCTGATGTGTCTGCCCAGATCTCTGGGGAAATCTTTTCTGAAAAAAGCCACAGAGCTGGCTCAGCACCCATAGCACAGTGATTATGGGTGGAGGGTTCAAACTCGGCCTGGGCCAGCTAAACAACCATGACAACTGCAACAAAAAATAGCCGGGCGTTGTGATGGGTGCCTGTAGTCCCAGCTACTCGGGAGGCTGAGGCAAGAGAATAGCTTAAGCTCAAAAGTTGGAGGTAGCTGTGAGCTGTGATGCCACAGCACTACCAAGGGCAACATAGTGAGACTCTGTCTCAAAAAACAAAAATGCCACAGAGCTGAGAGATTTTTCCATTCTCGGGCCTCAAATTCAGCATTAAGTGAGTCTGAGGTTCCCCTCTGGGACTAGAACTCAGAATTCATTCATGCATCTGTGCAACAAGTGCTTGCTGTGGGCCAGGCCTGTGCTCAGCGACAGGAAGGCAAAGGAGGCAGGGTCTCCGTCCCACAAGGAGACCCGCCCTGCTCACCACAACCACCTTGCCCATTAGCTCGGAGTGTGCTGCCTCTTGTCACAGCCGTCCATCTCTGATGTGGCACCAGCAGCCCTCCTGTCTACTGTGGATTTGAGCAAACACCACATTCAATGTATTCACAGACTTTCCCTAAGGCAGGCCCAGAGAAGAGGAGCAGCTGACCCTCAGGGTGCAGATGTGCATCATATGCGGCACAGACCGAGTCCACATGCAGGCTCTGTGCTTACCAGCACATGACATCAAACAATCCTGATCTCCACAGGGCAGAAAGGCTTCTTGACTTAGGAGTGCTAAGGAGGTAGGATGAAGTGTGAATGTTGGTGCCCTTCACTGTCCCACCCTCTATAGCCCCAAGACTGGCCACCACTCTTTTCCTGGCAACCTAAGGCAGTGGGCGGCATCCAGCAGTCAGCATCACTCTGAGGTAGAAGATAGCCAGAAATGTTAGCCGGCAGCTGCCTGCTGGGCCAGTGTGGTTCCCTGTGGGGAGGGTAACCATGTAATTAACCATCCAAACTAGGGCCCTCTAAGGGCCATTCCTATGATCACGCCAACACCAGGTGAAACCACACCTGCCCTGGCCGCCAGGTGTGCCCTTCCCACATCAACAGGTGGCTTTGATTTGAAACAGTGTGTCTAGCCGTAGAAGCATCCTTGCTCCCGAGGGGTCTGCAGCCAAGCGAGGCTGGGGGCACAGAGAGGTGGCCACAGCTTCCCAGACACCTGGACAAAAGGGCTCCAGCGCCTCATTACTGAGTGCTGCCTGGGTTCCATGAAAGCAGTTTAATCTTAAAAGCAACCCCAAGAAGCATGGGGTAATGTGCCCCCACTTCATTGCCCAGGAAACTGGGGCCTAAGAAACATGTTCCAGAGTGCTTATCACTGGGCAGAGCTGGTCTGTGCCCAGGTCCATGAGGCCCCACAACTACCCCTCCCCACCAGGATCTGAATCTCTCTCTCTGCTCCTATGGCTGTGCAGCCTGGGGGTCAATCTGAGTCTGGCCTCCCCAGGGACCACCCTGGCACACTGGAGCCAGCAGAGGCACATAGGCAAGGCTGGCAAATTGTAACATGGGTCTCAGGGGCCACAGAGGATAGACAGAGCCAGGGTCTCTCCTTCTACTGGAAGTCTCCAGTGAGTCACCAAGCACCAGGCAGTCAAGCCAGCCCTGATTGCTTCTACACTGGGCTGTACACTTGTCTGGCTGGACACCACCAGAGAGTGGTGGGTCTGAGAACAGATTGGGCCCAATGTCCATGCTGCTGTGTCCCGTCGGGCTGCCAGGCGGGCTCTGTGTGCCTGTGTGTGTGCAGAAGTGGCTCTGCTGAGACAGACTGAGAGAAAGAGGAGGGGTCTGCTCACCCTGCATTCTAAAGAGTTGGGGCTGGGGATCAGGTGGCCCAGCATTGCTGCACTCCCTCCTCCTAGATTCATTTCCTGGTTTACTTCTCACCCTCTGTTTCCATCTGACAACCTACGATCTTTCTGTTTTAATGCCCTGGCACAGAGCTGCCCTGGGTGCCAGGGGTGGCTCCCTACCCACTCCAAGGACCCTCTGTCACCTGCCTGGGGCCTTGCTGGCACCTCCTTTCTTAGGGCAGGGCCTCTCCACACTACTTGTGCTGAGAAGTCAGATCAAGAGCTCTTCATGATCTCCCAGAAAAAGGGGAGCTCAGACTGCCCTGGGGTAGTGAGGCAGGGATTGAGGCAGGGATGTCCGCCACCTAGGATGCAGCTGGCCTCCTACCAGGGCACTGTTGGTTCCCAGGGTGGGGAGAAAGTAAGTGTTAAAGGCAGAGAAGCAAAGAAATAGATTAGTTGCCTGACTGCAGTTGTGCTGAGAGTAGGGGGAAAGGAGGCCGTATTAGAGATAGTGAGACAGGGAGAGGGAAGAAGAGAGAGGGAAGTAGGGGTAGAGGAAGAGCCTGAAT